CTATCTGCTATTCGAGTTGCATATATATATATATGTATATATATATATATATATATATATATATATATATATATATATATATATCGCATGAACTCTTTCCCCCATTTTTTCCGTTTCATTTCTTTGTTTCTCTCTCTCTCTCTCCTTCCCCCTCCCCTTCCCTCGCCCTCTCCCTCTCCCTCCCTCTCCCTCTCCCTCTCCCTCTCCCTCTCCCTCTCCCTCAAAACCCCCTTATATTAACCCCCACGCCCTTTTTCTCTCTCTCTTAGGAACGCCGCGAGAAGTTCCAGGACGAACTAGCCGAGTACGCCGAGCAGCTCGAGGACTTCCAGAACTTCGGCGACCACGGTGAAATCCACGAGTACCTTCGACGCGCTAAGTCCCTGCACACGAGGCTCGACCACGCAGCTAACTACACTGACCAGATTAACAAGGAAGAGGAAGCGCTGTCGTGGAATACCACCCATTACCCGCTTAGGAAACAGGTGAGAGAGGGGGGAGAATAAAAGGTAGCAGGGATAGGGGGAATTAGGAGGGAGGGGAGGAAGTTGGGTAGGTAGGTCATTAGGAATTTTAAGGGAATAAATAGCGTCTGAGGATGATTGGGCCAAATCAGGTCAGCAAGATGGAGATGGTTGGAACACTTTACGGTTTACTTGATTAAAACGAAGGTAAGGAAGGCAGGAAGGTGAAATGATAGAGGCATAGTTAGGAAGAATGAGGAAAATTGATGAAGAGATAAAAGACAACATGTTTTATTTTTTAATGATGACATGTAGTATTCATTTCAAGTAGAGGGAAGCTTCTCCCATTCAGTACAAAAAAAAAGGTAAATGATGAAGTATAAGAGAGGAACAAGAAGTTAGAAATTTAAGCATAAAACCTATTGAATTTTTACAGGTCAGTTAGCAGGGAGAACAATCATTACGCATTTCCGAAATAGTAGGAATTATGATATTAGTGAATGGGTATGTTTTCGAGAGCCAGAAAGAAGTAATTTATTCTCTTACGCTTTATTATGGTAATCACTAACTCAGGCAATAAAGATAGACGCGTCAATGAAAAATAGGGATATCAATCAACGAATTGCAAACAGTACTGTTAACCAAGCCTATTTCACCATCTTATTACTCCGTTTCAAGTCGTTTATTTTTATTACCATAATAATTGTTAATAGTAATATGATCATGAAAATTATGATAACATTGATAACAATGATAATGGTCTTAGAATGAATCGGAACTGAACCGGATACAGTGCATACAACCACCGTTAATGGGTTAATCACAGTAATTAGATCAATAAAGAAAAAGAAAATGGAATCGGGTGTGCAAGGAAATAGGTGAAGTTGTAACATTTGTTATTATCACCAACCCTACAGTTTGCATAAAATAGTGTTTTACTTTCATTACCATAAATACCATCACTTCAACGAAATCTATTAAGATTTTTGTCACCACCCCTATAATTATCTTCACCAACAGACGCAACAGCCATACCACAAAACCCTCATAAAACCACCATACACCATCAACCCCCCCCTCCCTCCCTCCCTCCACCATCAACCACCACAAACCACCCCATTATAACCAAACCCATTATTCCCCCCCCCCCCCCAACTAACACCACCCCCTCTTCCCTCCTTCCCCCCTTCCTCAGGTATCCGACCGCCTGGCGCCCTTCCTGAAGCTATACGAGGTGGGCGTGGAGTGGTCTGACCGCCTGGAGGAATGGCTTCACTCGCCCGTAGGAACTCACGATCCTGACGTCATAGCGCAGGAGGTCGCAGCTACCTGGCGGACGGTTTACAAGCTGGAGAAGGGCTTTGGCGATATTCCTGCCGCGAAGGACCTCGTGCTGGCGGTAAAGGAGTTTTTTCTTTTTTTCTTTTTTTTCTTTTTATTTATTTTTTTATTTACTTTTTAGTCTTTAGTTTTTGTTAATGCTGGAATCGTTTTTGTTAATGCTGGAATCGTTACGGGATTTTTTTGTGTGCGATTTTGTGATTGTTTTCTTCTTTATCTTCTTTTTCTTCTTCTTTTGGTAGTTAATGATATAGCTTGATTTTTTGTCTGTATGTCTCCAAGCTGTATTTTGTGTATCTTGCATAATTTAGAATCACTAAAAGATTTCCATGCTGACAAATTCAGGTAAATATTTAACAACGAAACATACGGAGAGCAAACATTTAAAAAATAAAAGATTTAACTTCTTAAAAGAAACTTTGACAGTCCCTCTTTCCGCCAGTCAATCTATCTGTCTATCTACCCATCTGCCTGTTTATTTATTTATCTGTGTATTTATCTCTTTATGAACTTTATTTCCCTTCCTTCCCCTTCTCTTTCTCCCTATCTCTCATCCATCTTTCTACCTTCCTGTATTTTCTCCTTTCTCTCTCCTTGTCGTTCACCCCCCCCCTCTTTCTCCCTATTTCCCTTCCTCCTTCCCTCTCCCCCTCCTTCTCCATCCCCTTTACACCTGTTTATCCCTTTCCTCCCTTCCTCTTTCACACACTCCTCCTACTCCTTCTCTTCTCCCTCTCCATCTCCCACTCACCCTCTTTCATCCCTCCCTCTCTCACCCCACTCACTGTCCCTCCCTCCTCCCCACTTATACCCCCTCCCTCCCTTCAACCCCACTCCTCCCTCCCTTTCTCCATCACTCCCCTCACCCTCCTCCTATCTCCCCTCTTTCTCCCTTTTCCTCTTCACTCTCACCCTCCTTCTCCCTCCCTCTCTCATCCTTCTCCCTCTCCCTCCCTCTCCCTCTCCCTCCATCAACTTATCCATTCCTCCTCCCTCCCTCTCCCCCTCTTCTCCCCTCCCTCCCTACTTCCTTCCCTCCCTTCCTCCCTTCCTCTCCCCACCCTCCCTCACCCTCTCACCTCCCTCCCTCCCTCCATCCCTCCATGACCCCCCACTCACCCTCCCTCTCCCCCCTTCCCTCCTGCAGGTGCGCCAGAAGATCGAAGGCTTCCGCGAAAACCTCCCGTTGGTGCAGACTCTTGGAAACCCTGGCCTCAAGGAACGCCACTGGGAGAAGATATCGGAGGTTGTGGGCTACCCCTTGAGGTGAGGCGGAAGTGTGGGGGGTGGGGGGAGGGGGGAGGGATGTGGGTTGGATGGGGGAGAGGGGCAGGGAGGGGGAGGTGGGGAGGGGGTTTGGTTGGATGGGGGAAAGGGAGGGGAGGAGGGGATGTGGGGGAGAGGGGTGGGGGTTTGGTTGGATGGGAGAAAGGGAGGGGAGGAGGGGGTGTGGGGGAGAGGGAGGGGGAGAAGGGAATGTGGGGGAGAGGGGTGGGAAGGGGGAGGTGGGTGGATGTGGGTGGAGAGGGGGTTTGGTTGGATGGGGTGAGGGGGGGAGAGGTGGGGGTATAGGGGGATGTTGATGGTGGTAGGAAGATGGAGGGGTAGAGGGGGTGGGTAGGTGGAGGAGGGGGGGAGAGGGGAGGAGAGCGGATCTTACAGGTGGAGGAATGGACGGGGGAAGGGGGAGAGGGGAGGGGATGGAAGAGTGACGTGGATATAGGAGAATAGAGGAGATGGAGGGAAGAGATAGGGAGGTGGATTGTGGGGGTGGAGGGGGGGGGGAGAAGAGGTTCTTGTCGAGTAAAATTCTTAGAAATGTATAAGAATCTGTTCAGAATTTGCAGAATTTGTCTCGACCGCGCGCAAAAATTTGGGGATCGGCTCTTTCGGAAGCAGATGGAATGCGTAGATGGAGAAATGGAATTACGAAAAGGGAGAGAGAAAACGGGGAATAAAGAAAGTTTCAGATTGGGGAAGGAGGGAGAAGGAGAAGTAGAGATAAGAAGAGGGAGAATAGTGGGGAAATTGAGGATAAACATGGGATGAGAGAGAAGAGAGAGAAGTAGATAGTGGATAGGAAGGAGAGGTAGAAGAGGAAGAAGAGAGGAGAGAGAAAACGAGAAATAAGGAGAGATAGATGTGGGAAGGAGGGAGAGGGAGAAATAGTGATTAGAAGAGGGGGTGATAGGGGAAAATTGAGGATAAAAATGGGTTTAGCGCAGAGGGGGATGGGAAGAAGTAGAGATAAGAAGAAGGGGAAGAGAGAAAGCGGGAAATAAAGGAAATATCTAAAGAAAGTAAGAGAAAATAAGTAAGTTTGTGTCTATTTTGTGTATTGGATAAAGAGAGAGAGACGAGAGGTTACAAAAAATTGAAAAGGGAAAAAGTCTTTGTGTATCCATATAAACGTGTTATTGCGAGTGTTTGGTATATTAATATTTATGTATGTATTTGTTGTTGTTGTAGTTCGTGCATTAAATCACATTTTCACCAACATACAAAATAATTCACAGTTCTTCAGCAAATAAAACAAACTCTTTTTTCTGTATTTTCTTCACTTACCATTTAATTCAAACTATCAGCACCATTTATTTAGTTAATTTAAATCATTTCCTTTTTCTCTCTATTTCTTATTTACCATTTAATCCGAACCATCTCTTACCCATTTACTATTTCATTCAAACCATTATTCAATTCTCTGTATTACCCATTCAAGTTCATCTATATCTAAATAATGCTCTTTATCGCCCATTAACCATTTAATCCCAACCATTTTCCACTTCTCTCTATAACCTATTTAATATTTAAGTCAATTTCCTCTATTTCCTATTTACCATTTCTCTCTATTACCCATTAACGATTTAATCCAGTTTTCTCTATTACCCATTTACCATTTCATTCAAACCCATTGCCCAATTCTCTCTAATTACCATTCAGTCCAAATTCTCTCTACATCCTCTTTACCACTGAATCTCTATTTCCCATTTACCATTTCATTCCAACCCATTGCCCATTTCTCTCTCTCCTTCGTGCCACCATTGCAACTAACCCCCCCCTCTCCCCTCCCCCCACCCCCACCCCAGGGCTGACGCGACCACCACGCTGCAGCTCCTCATTGACAGCAACCTCGAGGACTACCTCTCCAAGTTCGAGTCTGTGTCGGAGGCGGCGTCCAAGGAGCACGTCTTCGAGAGGAATCTGGAGAAGATGAAGGTGAGAGGGAGGAAAGTGGGGGGGGGGGTGATAGGGGGAGGGAAGAGGGAGGGAGGAGGGGGAGAGGGATAGGGGTGGGGGGAGGGAAGGTGGGAAAGGGTGGGATGGGGGGAGGGAAGGGGGAAGGAGGAAAGGGAGGGATGGGGGGAGGGTGAGTGTGAGAGGGGGAGAGAAGGAAGGAGGAGGGGAGAGGGATGGGGGGAGGGAGGGGAGAGGGAGGGAGGGGAGAGGGATGGGGGTGCGAGAGAGAGGGAGGGAGGGGGAGGAGAGGTGAAGGCAGAAATAAAGAGGTAGAGAGAGAGAGAGAGAGAGAAAGAGAGATTCGAGGGAGAAAGGGAGAGATAAATAAAGAGAGTGAAATGAAGAGAAAAGGGATAAAGTGAGGGATAGAGGAAGAGAAGATTAAAAAAAAAAGATAACACGACCATCGCAGGCACTTTCTTTCGAATGAAGGCAAAGCAAATATAAGAAATGTATTTTGTGTATCTTATACGTAACCAAGGGCATTAAAACCTATCCAAATGCATCGAAATGTATTTATAACATGCTTATCTTTGTCACTTATTCTTACTAACTTACACATTTCTTTATCACCCCCCCCCCCCCCACGAGGAAAAACTTGATAGATATATTTCCTTGTAATTTTTCCAGACACATGCATATTTAGATTCAATGATTTAGAATCAATGATTTAGTGTCATTTAATTGGAATCAGTGACTTAGAAGCATTGATTTAGAATAATCTATTTGGCGTTAATTATTTTGGATGATTTTCTTGGCATCAGTGATTTAGAATCATATTCATAGAATTATTTCATCAGAATAATTTATTTAGAAGCATTTATTCACAATCCATTAGAATCACTAATTGAGAATCATCAATTTAGAATCATTTACATAAAATCATTTATCAAGAATTATTCATACAGAACCATTTTCCACAGAACCATTCATACAGAACCATTTATTTATACAGAACCATTTACAAAGAACCATATACACAGAACCATTTACAAAGAACCATATACACAGAACCATTTACAGAGAACCATTCATACAGAACCATTTACATAGAACCATTTATTTACACAGAACCACTTACACAGAACCACCCTTTCCTCCCGCAGAGCGAATGGCAGGAGATGGAGCTTGTCCTTCGTCCTCACCGAGAGACAGACACCTGGGTTCTGGCGGCCGTCGAGGACATCCAGTTCCTGCTCGACGACCACATTGTCAAGACGCAGTCCATGAGGTCCTCGCCCTTCATCAAGCCCATCGAGGCTGAGGTGGTGAGTATGGACGGGAAGTTGTAGGGGGGGGGGCTGAGAGAGAGTGAGGGATGGATACATACGTGTACATATACATTTATACTTACACTTAGGTTTGCACTTGGATTTAAAATAGGCATATGTACATACACGCACGCATACGTACACACACACGCACACATACGCACACGCACACATACGCACACGCACACATACGCACACGCACACATACGCACACGCACACACACGCACTCATACGCACACGCAAACACACACACACACACACACACACACACACACACACACACACACACACACACACACACACACACACACACACACACACACACACACACACATGCATACATACATGACTTATACTTACAGACGTACACGTGTGTAAGTGGCCTTGTACTCAGAACTAAAAGATTAAAAACACTCCATGTCAGTGTTTACATCCATCCTTCTCCGTACAACCATTCCTTCATCTCTCTTTTCGTATTTTTTCCTCTCTTTCTCTATGTATCCCTATCTATCGCCTTGCTCTTTTATCTACCTTTTTTATCCTTTTCCCTTTCTACGCAGTTATTCCTCCTCTCACTTTTCGCATTTTCTCTCTCTCTCGCTGTGAATTTCTAATCTCTTTGTCTCTTTATCTATCTGTTCATCCTTTTCTCTATCTCTTTATCCGTCTATCTATCTCTGTCCCTTTATCGACCTTTCTATCCTTTTCCCTTTATAGTCATTCCTCCTTTCCTAATTTCGCATTTTTTTCATTTCCTCTCTTTCTATGAATCTCTATTATCATTCTCTATCCTTTCCTATATCTCTTCATCCATCCATCTTTCTATCTCTGCCCCTTTATCTCTATCTCTCTCTCTCTCTCTCCTTTTCCCTTTATAGTCATCCCCCCTTCCCTCCTTTCTCATCCCCCCCATCTCTTTATCTCTTTACCTATCCCCCCTCATCCTTTCCTCTATCTCTCCATCCACTCATTCATCTCTCTCTCTCCCCTCCCCCCTCCCCCCCTCTCCCCCTCCCCCTCCAGGCCGCGTGGGAGACGACCCTGGCGCAGCTGCAGGAGGTGGTGGACGAGTGGCTTCGAGTCCAGGCGACGTGGATCTACCTGGAGCCTATCTTCGGTTCTCCGGATATTATGGCGCAGATGCCCGAGGAAGGACGCAGGTGAGAGGAGGGAGGGAGGGTAGGAGTGGGAGGGAGGGAGGGAGGGTGGGTAGGAGTGGGAGGGAGGGAGGGAGGGTGGGGGAGGGAAGGGAGGATGGGTGAGGGATGGAGGGAGGGAGGTAGGTAGGGTAGAGGGATGGAGGGGGAAGGAAGGAGGGATGGAGGGAGGGTAGATAGGGTGGGTGAGGGAGGGAAGGGTGGGTGGGTGGGTAGAGGGATGGAGGGTGGGAGAGGGAGGGAGGGTGGGAGAAGGGAAGCGCTTTTGTTTATATTTCTGTTCAGTACCAGTAATCTTTTTCACATTATGCAGCAGAAGCAACAGCGACAGTAGATGCAGGAGTACTTGCAGTATCTAAAATCATAGTCTCACTTATCACAGCACCACCCCTATTTATATATATTCCGTTGCCTTAACAACAATAGTACTTTTTACGTTATAATCATCACATTCACTTCCACCGACAACCCCTCGTCCTCTCTTTATCATAGTATACGTAGTAGAAGCAGTAATAGCAGTATTAATATTAGCAGTAATTGTAGCTATAACTGTGATATCTGAAATGTAACCCTTTCGATCATTTTTTCTTTATGTATGTACTTTCGTTGTGATAGTAATAACCTCAAATGTTTCCAGTTATCATCCTTGCACATTTTTTTAAAACTGTGAACTCTATTCTATCCCGTGCAGGTTTTTACCACAAATTCTTCTCTCGTGCAATTCTTTACCACTAATCCTTCTCGTCCTCTCCCTTGTCTTCCTGACACCAGATGGACGAGCCTCTTCCCGTCCCTCTCTTTCCCCACTTTCCCCCCCTTCCTCCTCTTTCCTTCCTCCTAACGTGCCTTCGCCTCCTCGCCAGATTCAACACCGTCGACAAGACCTGGAAGGACATCATGAAGAGCGTCCGGCAGAACACGCGCGTCCTGTCGGTGCTGGAGGTGGACAAGATCCTGGAGCGCCTCAGGAAGTCCTCGGAGCTCTTGGAGTTGATCCAGCGCGGCCTCAACGAGTACCTGGAGAAGAAGCGGCTCTACTTCCCCAGGTTCTTCTTCCTGTCCAACGAGGAGCTGCTCGAGATTCTGAGCGAGACCAAGGACCCCAGCAGGTAACTGTCCTTTCGGCGATATTTTTTGTCCATTCTGTGTATATCTACTCAGTTATTAGAGCTCCTCGAGAAGAAGAGGGGAAATGGAATCCCAAGACAAACTTATTTATAATTTACCTATTTATCTACTTATGTCTCGTCTTAAAAATATCAAGACTCTGATATACATATCCACAACAAATATTTAGCAACGAATACATTTCACAGCCACTTGTTACGCCACGAGACACCTTTACATTCACAATAAACTCGCCCCTTTTTCCCTCCCCTCAACCCTCTCCCCCTCCCTCAGAGTACAGCCTCACCTGAAGAAGTGCTTCGAGGGCGTCAACTCCTTGGACTTCGGCGAGGACCTGGAGGTGGTGGCCATCAGGTCAAGCGAAGGCGAGGTCATCGGCCTCACCACCATCATCAGCACAGCCAAGGCGAGAGGGCAGGTCGAGAAGTGGCTCGTGCAGTTGGAGGCTAGTGTCAAGGCCAGTATTAAGAAGGTAAGGGAGAGGGAGGAAGAGGAAGGAATCAGATATTGGGAAGAAGGAGAGGAGGAGGAAAATGGATAGAGACAAGGAAGGATCGGATAACGAAAGCGAAGGGAAGGAAAGCATTAGCAGGAAGAAAGGAGAGATCGGAAGAAGGAGGAAGGAAGAAAATTGGGGAAAGAGAGGACGGGAAATGGCTCGTCCATTTGATGTCAAGAAGGCAAGGGCGAGGACGAGAAGGGAGGGAGGGAGGATAGAGATCAAAGAAGTGGTAGGAAGATGTGGAGCAGGGAAGAGATAAAAGAAACGTCGAGAAGGTGGGATAAAGAAGGGAGAATAGAAAGCGAAGAAGAGGTAGAAAGGAGAAGGTGTGGAGAAGGGGAGAGGTAGAAGAGAGGTCTGGAAGGTGGCATAAAGAAGGAAAAACGACAGAAGTAAATGAAGTCAGAGGGCAGGTCGAGAGGAAACTCTTGCAGCTGTAAATCAACATAGGCCTACGGAAAGGGAGAAAGAAAGGAAGAAAAGAGGGAAAATAATGGGAAGAGAACGAAGCCGGAATGAAGGGTCAGCCATGTCGAAAGAAAACATTTAAAAAAAGTTGAAGAAGAAGAAAAAAAATAAAAAAAAAAAAAAAAAAAAAACGAAAAGGGGGAATTAGGGAGGCAAAAATAAGTATCTGGCAATCAAGTAAACACCATCAACACACCTTAACCCTCTTTTAAGGTCGTGAAGTCGTGCATGGAGGCCTATACCACGAAGCCGAGGGAGGAGTGGGCGCTGGAGTGGCCGGGGCAGGCGGTCCTCTGCGTCTCACAGACTTTCTGGACTACTGAGGTGTCTAGGGGCATGAGGTCAGTTGGTTTGTTTGTTTGTTATTCTCTATGTTTTTGTTTGTTTGTTTGTTTTTTTGTTTTCTTGTTCTTGTCTGCTTCTTTATGTTTCTTGTGTTTTCGTAAATTCTTCTGATAGAGTCTTTGTTTTTTTATATTGTTTGAAAGACTTTATATCAGAAGGAATATATTTGTAATTAGTAGACCGCTTTGAATATATAAAGTCTTTCAAACAATATAAAAAAACAAAGACTATATCAGAAGAAATATATCTGTAATTAGTAGGCCGCCTTGAATATATAAAGTCTTTCAAACAATATAAAAAAACAAAGACTATATCAGAAGAAATATATCTGTAATTAGTAGGCCGCCTTGAATATATAAAGTCTTTCAAACAATATAAAAAAACAAAGACTATATCAGAAGAAATATATCTGTAATTAGTAGGCCGCCTTGAATATATAAACTCTTTCAAACAATATAAAAAAACAAAGACTATATCAGAAGAAATATATCTGTAATTAGTAGGCCGCCTTGAATATATAAACTCTTTCAAACAATATAAAACATACAGACTATATCAGAAGAAATATATCTGTAATTAGTAGGCCGCCTTGAATGTATAAAGTCTTTCAAACAATATAATATATCAGAAGGAATATATTTGTAATTAGTAGACTGCTTTGAATATATAGTCTTTGTTTATTATATTGTTTGAAAGACTTTATATATGCAAGGCGGCCTACTAATTACAGATATATTTCTTCTGATATAGTCTTTGTTTTTTTATATTGTTTGAAAGACTTTATATATTCAAAGCGGTCTGCTCATTACATATAATAACTCAGGAATGCTTAAACGATTAAAGTACTCACGGCATTGAAACTTATAACCTGAAATTTTAGATTTATGTACAAGAAAAAAATATCAGTTTTCACCTAATGGTTGACAGTTACCCTCCTTTTAGGTTAAAAAAAAATAAACAATAAAGAATAGTCACTTGAAAATAGATGATAAAAGAATAATTAGAAATAATGAAAAAATAAATAATACTTAAATAAATTAAATGATAAAGAATAGTCACTCAAAAATAGAAAACAAAAAAAATCCTTCTACGCATGTCTTTATACCTCCCCAACCCCCTCTCTCTCCTCCCTCCCCTCCCTCCCCTTCCCTCCCCTTCCCTCCCCTTCCCTCCCCTTCCCTCCCTCCCCTTCTCTCCCCCCCCCACTCATCCCTCTCGCTTCTCCCACGGTCCCAGGGAAGGAACGAAGCAGATGGAGGAATATTACGAACTTTGCAACAAGCAGATCGAGTTGGTCGTGGGTCTTGTGCGCGGGCAGCTCTCCAAGCAGAACAGGACGACTCTTGGTATGTGTTTTTTATGTGTTTTTTTGTGTGTGTGTTTGTTTGTGATTGTGTGTTTGTTTGTTTGTTTGTGTTTGTGTTTGTGTGTGTGTATTTGTGTGTGCGTGTGTTTGTTTGTTTGTTTGTATATGTGTTTGTGTGTATATGTGTGTTTGTGTGTGTGTGTGTGTGTATGTGTGTGTTATTTATGGTGATTTTTTGGAGTGGAATTTTTGGTTTCTGTTGGAATGAGAATGAGGGGGGGGACTTGAAAAAAAATGTTTATTAGTTCAATTGTTTGATTGTAGTTTTGTTTGTTTAGGTATTTTGCTATTTTCTTGTCTATGTGTGTATATATTTTCTAGGGGATTCATTAAAGCTGGAATATATTGTGGATTACTGAACTAACCGGTATTTTTTTCTCCTCTTCTTCCTCTTATTTCTACTCTTTCCCTATTCCTCTGCACCCCTTCTCCTTCCCCTCCATCCTCACCCTCCCTACCCATCCCATACCCAACCCTACGCCCACGTACACCCACCCCACACTTTCGTACACCCATCCCACGCCTACGCACACCCATTCCCCGCCCACGTACGCCCACCCCACGCACGCCCACGCTTACGTACGCCCATGTACACCCATCCCACGCCCACCTACGCCCACGCTTACGTACACCCATCCCACGCCCACGTACACCCGCCTTACGCCCACGCTTACGTACACCCGCCTTACGCCCACGCTTACGTACACCCACCCCACGCCCACGCACGTCCACGTACACCCACGCACGTCCACCCCACTCCTACGTACACCCATCCGACGCCCACGTACGCCCACCCCAACAGGCGCCCTCGTGGTACTGGACGTCCACGCCCGTGACGTGATGAAAGAGGAGCTCATTAAGAAGAAAGTGACAGACCTCACTGACTTCACCTGGTTATCGCAGCTCAGGTACTACTGGCAGGTAAGTGGAGGGGGAGGAGGGGGGTGTGAAGCAAGGAGATAGGGGGGGGGGTTGAGGGAGGAGGGGGAGGAAAGGGGAAGGGGAGGGGAGGGAAGGGGATAGGGGTGTTGAGCAGGAATAGAGGGGGGAGGGGGGAGGGAGGGGGTGAAGTAGGAAGAATGGGGGGGGGGGTTGAGGGGTAAGAAGGGGAGGGGAGGGAAGGGAGGTGAGGAGGGGGTGAGCAGGAAGAAGGGGTAGGAAGGGGAGGGGAGGGGATGGGAGTGTTAAGCAGGAATAGAGGGGAGAGGGGGGAAGAGGGGGTGAAGCAGGAAAAGAGAGTGTTCAACAGGAGGAGGGAGATTGAACAGGAAGGGGGGGAGGGGGGTAGGATTAATCAGGGAGAGGGAAGAGGGGGGAGGGAGGGGAAAAGAAGGGAAAGAAGAGATGTGGGTGGAGAGAGATAAAAAAAAGTGTAAAAAGTGAAAGAAGAGGAATGGAAAAAAGAATGAGAGACGGGAATAAGAGAAAAGATAGAGGAGGGGAGAGGAAAGATAAATAAAGGGGAAAGGGAGATAAGAAGGAAGAGTATGAAGGAAAGTGGATAGGCAAAGGGAAGAAGGGAATAGGAAAGAATGCTACAGTATAAACTTAACTATCTATCTATGCATTATTCAATCGTGTATCTATCGATCATTTTTTTGCCGATGTCTATCAATCTAATACGCATTTTTTTCTCTCACCTACTCTTTCGCTCCCCCCCCCCTTCACTTTTCCTATCCCTTTTAACTCTGTTTCCTTCTCCTTCTCCTTCTCCTCTCCCCTTCGCCACACCTCTTATCTTGTCCCCTTCTCTTCCTCTTCTTCCGTTCTCTGTTCCCTTTATTCCTCCTTTTATCTTTCACTTACCTTTTCTCTCCATCTCTTTCCCCTCACCCGTCCCCTTTCCCCTCTTCCTTCACTCAAACGCGATCCCCTTCCCTTTTCCACCATCACTCTCTATTTCCCCCTTCCCTCTCCCCTTCTCCCCTCATCCCTCACCCCTTTTCTCTCCCCCTCCCCCCCTTCAATCTCTCCCCTTCATCCCTCACTTTCCTCCCCCTCCCCCCCTCCTCACCCCTCACTTTCCTCCCCCCTCATTCCTCATCTTCCATCCCCCCTCCCCTCACCCTTCTCACCCCTCCTCCCCCTCCTCCTCTTCCCCTTCTCCCCCCCTTCCCTCTCTCCCCCTTCTCCCCCTCCCCGCTCACAGGACGACATCCTCAAAGTCCGGATGATCAACGCAGAACTGGAATATGGATACGAGTACCTTGGCAACACCGGCCGTCTCGTCATCACCTCACTGACCGATCGTTGCTACAGGACCCTCACACAGGCCCTCATGCTTAATCTAGGTGAGTTGTGAGGGTTGTAGGGGGGTTGTGGAGGGGTGTAGGGTGTGTGGGAGGGGTTGTGGGGGTTGGTTGTAAGTCGAGGTACGGTTCGTGGGATGTTTGGTTATTATGGGTTATGAGTTTTGTTTGAGTGATCGTGGGTGATGAATCATTAGGGTTATGAGTTATGAGTTGTTATGAGTTATGCGGTGTTATAGATTATGAGTTATGAGTTGTTATGAGTTATGTAGTGTGACGTATGAGTTACGAGTTGTTATGAGTTATGTAGTGTGACTTATGAGTTGTTATGAGTTATGTAGTGTGACTTATGAGTTATGAGTTGTTATGAGTTATGTAGTGTGACTTATGAGTTATGAGTTGTTATGAGTTATGTAGTGTGACTTATGAGTTATGAGTTTTGTAGTATGACTTATGAGTTATGAGTTGTTATGAGTTACGGGTTGTTATGAGTTGACATGAGTTATGTTATGATTTATGAATTGACATAAGTTACGAATTGATATGAGTTATGAGTCTTGATGAAAGGGGGCTTGCACTGGCTCCCATGCTCAGTCGGGTGAGTCATGAGTGTTTTCTTTCATGAGTTATGACTCGTTATTTATGAGGATGATGAGGTCGTTGTCTTTATTTATGTTGGTTCCCATTTTCCGTGATTTGTGAGGCTAGAGTTCTGAGTATGAAAATATATTCTTAATTTTCTACATATTTTTCTGTGATTCTTTTCTGGTCCGTAGATGTTTAAACTGCGATATTTTCATTTAATTATGATAATCATTAGATATAATGCTTTGTTAAAACACCATAATAATCATAATAATTATTACAGGGATAATTCTCTTTCAGATACTTACGGGTATAATACTGGATAGCGCAGTGAAATAATCATTATAATTATAACTATAATTTATGATTTGTAAGATAATTTTATAATTAAGGTTACTGATACAATGTTGTTGAATTATAGTTACCAGTGCTTCCCTTCTCTCTAAATTATTTTTAATTCTCTTTCTCCGTATCTCTTTTCTCGTCTTCCTCCTTCTGTTTTATCTCCTTTTCGTCCTGTTTTTTTTTCTTATTTCTCTTTCTCTCTCTCTCTTCCTCCCCCTCTTGTTCCTCTTTCATACCACTACTGCTATTTATGTTTTTGCTTTCACTACCTTCACTACTACTTCTGTTTCTACTAGGAACACTACTACTAGTACTACTACTACTACTAGACTACTACTACTAATGTTACTACTACTACTGCTGCTGCTGCTACTACCACTACTACTACTAGGCTATTGTTTCTACTACTACAACTACTACTTTCTACTGCTGCTCCTAATACAATTACTCCTACAACTACTACTATATCTACTATTAAACTACCACTTCTACTACTACTACCACTAAAATTAAAACCATTACTACTACTACTACCACTACTACTACTACTACTACCACTACTCCTACTACTACTACTACTACTACTACTACTACTACTCCTACTACTACCACTACTCCTACTACTACTACTACTACCACCACCACCACCACCACTACTACTACTGCTCTTACTATTCCTACTACCACTACTACTACTCCTACTCTAACTACTCCTCTTCCTCCTCCCTCCCCTCAGGCGGCGCCCCCGAAGGACCCGCCGGAACTGGCAAGACGGAGACGACGAAGGACCTGGCCAAAGCCGTGGCCAAGCAGTGTGTCGTCTTCAACTGTTCGGATGGACTCGATTATATCTCCCTTGCTAAGTTCTTTAAGGTAAGAATCAGTTAGTGAATGGAAAGTTGCTAAGTTGCTATGTAAGTTGCTCCCTTGCTAAGTTCTTTGAGGTAAGAATGAGTCAGTGAAGGGTAAGTTGCTAAGTTGCTTAGTAAGTTGCTCCCTCGCTAAGTTCTTTGAGGTAAATTGAGTCAGTGAAGGGTAAGTTGCTAAGTTGCTATGTAAGTTGCTCCCTTGCTAAGTTCTTTGAGGTAAGATTGAGTTAGTGAAGGAGAGTTATTCTTGTTGGGTTTGTATTGTGGGAATGTGAGTCATGGTAGGGATGTTTTTTTTTTTGTTGTTGTTGTTGTTGGTTGTGTAGAATGATGTTGGAAATGGGTGAATAATGGTGGTTATATTTTTTTTCTTTCTTTCGTTCTTTCTTTCTTTCGTATTTTTTCTTTCTTATTTTCTTTCTTTCTTATTTTTCCTTTCTTTTTTTCTTATTTTTTCTTTCTTTCTTTCTTTCTTTCTTTCTTTTTCAGTAGGATTGGTGTTGTAAAAATAGAGATGGTGGTAATAATGATTTATAGTATTTACTACAATATTATTGGGAAAATAAAAATAACGGTAGGAATCGTTCTGCAGTTAAACCAGGTAATAAATATTCAGTCAGAATGATATTGTAAAAAAAAAAAAAAAAAAAGAAAGCATAATGAGGTACTGATTAATTGCTTCGTTACCCGGATTTAGTGCGTTGTGTGATCCGTTTACGTTTAATGCTAAAAATTCAAATGAAATGTTCATCAAGATAACCATTTATAAATCCATCAATGTTTACTAGTTTATCGTTATACTTAAAATAGATATAGTTACTGTTGAAGAAAAGAAAAAAAGAAATCTGTATCAGAATCGAAAAAAATACTATGCAAATAATGAATTAAATTACTAATTCAAATCGTTATTATCATTACTAAAATAAACTTTATAAGAGTTTAGATTTTATCGTTATTCCAGTTTATCTAATTCACTTATTTCCTTACTAATCGGTAAATAAACTTTAATCCTAAATGGAAAGTCTCGCCTCGTCATAATTAATATTGTTTTGTAAATTAAATGATATTGAAGGTTAAATGATAAGAAATCACTGCATTTAAGAAAAGAAAAACACTTTATTCTCATTTTCCTTACCACTGGAGGGCACTTGCAGTTGAGTCTGTTTGTGTAGTAAATAAATTTTGTATAACAGTCTTAATACGTTACGTAAATTATTTTGAATCCGTTACCGTAGTTACCGACCGCAAAATGGTATCATTTATTTCATTTATTACTGTTTCATTTGCTAATAAAATACTAATTCCGTGTCACTGAAGGGCAAAAAGAAAAAAATTATCAGTATATTGATAATGCTTGTTCGTAATGCAGTGTATATTCACTACGTAAATGTATCTATTTTTTTTTTTTTTTTCATGAAAATCTCTTAAACACTCGATTTTTGTCTCTGGCTCGACCGGTGTTTCATTTTACTTTTGTTGAAAATAACTACAAGTAATAAGTAAGTAATAAGTAATAATAAGGAATACTTGTAAATCACTTTTTTTATAAGTTGTTAAGCGGCAATTGACTCGTTTTTTTCCACAATTATTGCATTTTTTTATTTGATAATACAAATGGCCGGCGTCGCCTTCAACAGCTGATGCGATGGCAACACACGTAGAGGTGCCATGTGTACATATAAAATATATTAAATGTGTAATATCGTTGGCACTATATGGTTGAAATTCACTGCAGTAGTTGTTCTATTTTATTATCACAGTAGATTATCTTAATAGGGTCTATTAGAATATGATATTAATTTTAGTTCGGTGTTAATTTTGAAATACGGCAAATGCGAGTCATAGACGAAAGGTAAATCCGATAACAATCATTTAGTTAAGAATTGTTTTTAGGACAGTATTTAATATTGACAATTTCTAGTATTATTATATTCATACGCAACACTATTCTGGTCACTTTTACCTCTGTTATTCCGGTTAGTGAACGCCATTATTATTTTAAGGTTTATCGAGTTTTTTCTTATATTTCGCTCTTTTCTCATTTATCATCGCCGTTAGCGTCATTTTCTCACCTTAACAGATTTATTTTCTGAAAGTAAACTGGTCTGTGGCGCTCTCTCTCTCTCTCTCTCTCTCTCTCTCTCTCTCTCTCTCTCTCTCTCTCTCTCTCTCTCTCTCTCTTCCTCTTTCTGTGTGTGTGTGTGTGTGATTGGCATTTTTAAAATTGAATTAAAAAGCATATAATAATCAAAATGGCCATGATGCACAGGCCTGTACATTAGTCAAACAGAATAAGCAAGAGCAGACTGCAAACACTGCAGCTTATGAACCCCGAGCAGCAATTAGGTAAATTTCCAAGATGGCCTAATGAGCTAAACACCTGCCTTCGAGGCGGGGGGGGGGGGGGGGGACTAGGGTTCGATTCCCTAGTCCTTTTATATTTACTTTCGATTTCGTGGCCACAAATGTACTAATTTTATTAATAATTCTTATAGGAGTTGAAATAATCAAACACTTTGCGAAATAAGCTCGAGTGGCTTATTTTAACAGATTTAACATTCTAACCTAACTGTTTGCGGAAAAAAAAATAGATTTTTCCTGTCGCTGTAGAGTATTAAATGAAAAGTAATTAGTAGACAAGAATATAGTGTAGATAAAGATATGTATGTGTGTATATATATATATATATATATATATATATATATATATATATATATATATATATATATATATATATATATATATATATATATATATATATATATATATATATATATATATATATGTAGCTAAGAAAGAAGGAAAAAAAAGAAAATCATCACTTATTTACATATCTGCTGATCTTTTCAACTTCTTTTCAAGAGTCGGAAATGTTAATCTCTGAAGGCAATCAATTTGACAGCAATAAATAGCGGTAAAAAAAAACATCTCGAAAATTGAGGGTCATTTATATACATATATCTTTATCTACCAATTAATCTACCAATCAATATATATACATATATATATATACATACATATATATATATATATATATATATATATATTCATATATATATATATATATATATATATATATATATATATATATATATATATATATATTATATATATATAATATATATATATATGTATATCATATATAAGTATATATATATATATATATATATATATATATATATATATATATTATATATAATATATATAATATATATATATGTATATCATATATTATATATATATATATATATATATATATAATCTCTCTCTCTTCTCTCTCTCTCTCTCTCTCTCTCTCTCTCTCTCTCTCTCCTCTCTCTCTCTCTCTCTCTCTCTCTCTCTCTCTCTCTCTCTCTCTCTCTCTCTCTCTCTCTCTCTCTCTCTCTCTCTCTCTCTCTCTCTGTTCTCTCTATCTTTCTGTCTATCTGCCTATTTTGCATATGATTATTTACCTCTGTACGAAGCCAAAAATGTAAGGTTAGAATTTTGAATCACCTTAATTCCACAAGTTCATTATCATTTTTCGGTGCTATTAATAAAATCAACATATTTATGGCCAAGAAATCTATTTTAAAATGAAAAGGACTAGGGAATCGCTATCATACATAGCCTTTCTCATTCTCATTCTTACCCCTTCTATATTTATCAATATAAATACGGTTCATCTTCTTGTTTATCAATTACTCTTCATTTGATACTTTAAACAGTGACAGGGAGTTTGATTGAGTTTAATGTTAAAAAGTCTGATCTTTCCGCTGACAGTTAGGTTAGAAATCTCAGCTCGCAACGTAATTACAAACGGCTTCTCATTTACGATCTGTGCAGTTCTTTTAAAATTCTGTTTGATTGTTCTAACTACAATGAGAATTGTTAATGAAACTAATGTGTTTATGGCCCAGAAATCGCAAGTAAAACTAAAAGGACTAGGGAATCGAACCCTAGTCCCCCCGCCTCGAAGGCAGGTGTTTAACTCATTGAGCCATCTTGGAAATTTAATTAATTGCTGTTCGGGATTAATAAGCCGCAGTCTACTTTTTTTTCTTCTTTTTTTTTAGATGGAATTATCGTTAGAATATGTTTATTTTATCTAGTGTGTGTGTCTGTGTGTGAGTAACATATACGTACATACACATGTGTGAAATTAACAGTATGACGAAATATTCGAATAGATTGTAAAAAAAAGTATGAGGGAGAGAAAGATAAATAGAAAGAACGATACATAAATAGAGAAATTCGCTCGTAGTCACAATCTTGTTTCCTTCACAATAATTGTAGGTTTTCTTCGCTAAATCCACAGCTGATGCGATGGCAACACACGTTAAAGGTGCCACGTATACATATGAAATATATCGTGTGTAATATCGTTGCCTTTTATGGTTGGGATTCATTTCAATAGTTATTTTATTTTATTATCATAGTGGGTTATCTTCATAGGGTCTGTTAGAATGTATAATGAACTATAGTTATGTGTTAATTTTAATATATGGCATATACGAGTCAGACGAAATCGTTAAGGAAAGTCTTTAGATAGACTCAAAAGCAAATTCCATGACAATAATGGAGCTTAAAACTGTTTTTAGGACAGTAATTAATGTTGACAATTTGCAATAATTATTATGTTCATATACAACACTCTTTTGGTCACCCTTACTACTGTTATTCCGGTTATTAGCGTTAACGTCATTATTATTTTCCTGTTCATCGAGTTACTCTTCGCTCTTTTTTCAAATATTCGTTACCGCTCTTCTATCAGCTTTAAAGATTTCTTCATTGAAAATAAACTGGTCTGTGGCCACAACCGCAAGCAGATAGGTTCTCTCTCTCTCTCTCTCTCTCTCTCTCTCTCTCTCTCTCTCTCTCTCTCTCTCTCTCTCTCTCTCTCTCTCTCACACACACACACACACACACACACACACAAACACACACACACACACACACACACACACACACACACACACACACAAACACACACATTCAAAAGAGATACAACTAACTAAACATTAC